CTCCCATCAAACAGCAAGTCACGACAAAATATTTTCTCTCCATCCATTTCCAAACTCAAAGAAATGCAGCTCTAATGGAACAAAAACATTCACAGCCCTATGTCAAACTCAACACACATGTTTAGAAAATGCTGTAGATGAGGATTCTTGAAGAGGTTCAAATACCTAAGTTTTTTACATTTTCAGATGAGGTTCTCTTGAAAAATACCAAGATATGCTCAATGAGTGTTCAACTAGATTGAAATTATATTTCTAAGAATTTTTTCAGAGAACAGGAGTTATGGTGGTGAAATACTCCAGAACCCTACTTTATTTCTAGGGGGGGGAAATAGAATCAATTGACACCAAAATAAGTGTTTACTTTTTTCCCCATTTTATTTAAAAGCACACATACAAAGTTTGAGTGTGAAAACTGAACTGAAAGGGAAACCCAAAACTGTTTAAACAAACTCCAGCTTACAATCAGCTCTTTCCAGCATCAGTCTATAAGCTACTCTGCCCTCTTTGAATCCTACAAACTCTTCAATAACCAGAGAGCTCCTAGGCAGGCAAATATATTTTTGCAAAACCTGAGTCTAAAGCAGCAGCAGATTAAACCTCTTCATTCTTGGATTGTCCCATAAACGTACAGATGCATCTGAAAAAAACTGGATACACTGCTGGAACAGCGGCACAAAATTGCATAGGACAGTTTGGGAGGCTACATAAAATCTCACCACTTCCTTTCAACAAGCATTACCTCTCCAATCTCTGTTCCATGTAACCCTGTTTGGAAAAGGGGTGATTGTTCCTCTGTCTTCAAATGTGTACAGCAGTCAACTGTCCTTCTTCCAGACTGTTTGATGAGGCCACTAGAGCATTGAAAAATGCAGTTCCATTCCCAAGAAAATAATGTCTGTTTGAGTTTGGATAATGCCTCAGCAAACACAAAGGGAAGCACACAGGTTTCCAGAGGAAGAAGCCTTACATCTCCACAGCTGGATGCCTATGGCACATCACTCATAACAGCCAGCCATGCAGCTCTTCCCACACACTGCAGGGTTAGATAGATGGGACTTTTTTGGTTTTTCTACTGTTTTGACAGTCATTCTAAAGTATTATCTAAGTTTCAAGGACTGTTTTGCAAGTCAGCCAGTTTGAAACCAGATCCAAGATGAACAAAGCCAAGTCCTTGAAAGCACATCTTTCCAGCTGACATACAAATACACCTTCTTTCCTCGGTCACCAATTAGAGCCATGTTGAACTCTAAGTCTGGCTCTGCCACATGTTCACAGAAACTTCAAAAAGGCAGTAAAGACACAAAATTATTCTCTTTGAACCTCTGGCTAAATTGCTATTCCCCCCTCCCCAGCCCACAGTTGCTGGGAGTGCACTTGGTTCATTTTGCTACACATCACCATACTTTTCATGACATTTCACATATCTCTACTCTCACATACTTGAACACTTCTTTGAAAATAAATAGAAATTGCAGTCATACCCTCAAAGAGTTAAAGATAAAGGAATCCTTTTAAAAAATCTTACCCTCAGTGACAGTTTGGGGATACACCCTGCTCTCCAGTTTTCCCATGTTACCTGAGGTGACAGCAGCTCACCAGATGTTAACTGCTGTGAGCATCACACCCACTGCACTGGTACCACAGGACACACACAGGGGCAACTCACAGACAGCTTCCTCAACTATTTTTGCTGTGCATCAGCATGTACCCATCTTTAGGTGATGCAAGCTGATGGCAAAACTGTAAGACACCCTACTAAGCAGTTGGAAAATGTTGTTGGTTTAAGGCAAGTGAGGCACAGCTTTTCCCCGGAAATCAGCTTATAGCCATTGGAAGACTCCGCACAGCAAGGATAATGCTGCACAGTCTTTGTGTTTCTCTGTTTCAGGAATAAATATGTACATACGTAAATCAAATTACATACACAGTTATCTGCAATGCAGTCAAGAACTGTATCTGCAGTACATAAGAAAACACTCAAACCAGCTTTGGGCTAGACAGCACTCATCCATATCAGCAAGACTGCAGATCCCTGGGATCCACCAGGGCCTGCACAAGCCCATTCAGGATCCCAAGTTTGCTCTCAATAGCTCAGACCATGATCCAAAAGCATGGCTGCTTTCAGAGGGGAGCTTTACCACAGCTACAGTCCTTGAGTCTCCACAAGGATCAGTTCTACCCTGGACTGAAGTAAAGGTGTGCTCCTACTGATCACTTAAAATCTGCATCTCGCTTTTCCTCAGAGGAACTGCACATTATCACATCCCAACATGATGTTAATGCCACAGTTGATCACTTGGACTGAAAAAACAGGAAACAGTGTAATAATTGCACCCAAAAAATACTGGAAGACTTCTACATTCCTGTTCCTTATGAACATATGGGCTAGCAAGATGATGCACATTCCTGCAGAACTGCTCAAAAAGCTCCCATATGTGCTGGTATTAGGGATAAAACTACTGAAGAACCTCCCCTGAAAGCGCACTGCCTCATATGACTGTCTACTCACTGGAGAGAAATTCTTGAGTAGCATACATAATTGAAAGCCAGGTTTGCAATTGAAAAGAAAACAGGAGAATTGACTTGTGTCTATTTTTTCTGAGACAACCTTAAGCAATTTCCATCTCTGTGAATTTATCACAAAATACATTTACAAGCAAACAGAAGAATTAACATACAGAATAATTGTGAGATACATTTTATTCACGGGAATCAGTGTAATAGATGGAAAATAATTTCTATGCCCTATTATACAGGAGGGAGACCTTCTGCAGGATGGACAAGTTACTTGGTGTATGGTCAGCGGCCTTTTCATCAGATCATAATTCCAGGATCCTAAACCCTGCCTTACTGTCTGAGCCAGCAGCATCACTGCCCAGACCAGAGATAACATCTACTGACCAGAGGTGACACTGCTCCTGCTTCCCAGGTCCTGGCACCAGGACTAGGACTTCAACTCTAATTGCATAAACATGATCCCTGCAGTGTTCCAGCTTTTCAGAGGATGCACCAATTTACATTCAACCTTCTCAGACATCATACAGCAAGCTGCATAGAGAAAAGGGTATGATTTTAAGGAATGCCATCAAAACAATATATCCCTTACATTATTCTTTAGAAGCAAATCTCTCATTTCAGTATTAGTTTCTACCAGTGATAGGAGTGTCATGCTCTCAGTCACTCTGTTCACCCCTTCTCTTATTTCCATGATTATTTGACCTCCCAACTGTTTCAAATAATTCTCCTATCAAGATCAAAAACTTGAGGCAGCCAAGCACATTTTGACACTGCCTTTGAGCTGTGCTGAAGAAAGATCTATTTGCAAAAGCAAATCCAAAACTGCTTTCAGGGAAGTATTTTACAGAGTAGCTTCGTCATCATCTTTTGTTGTGTTCAAACAGCTATTTCAGTAAAATTTTGTTTCATAAGTGCCTTAAAAAACTCTCAGTAAATCACGCTAAATTGAAATTATAGCTAAGTCAATAAAGTCTTGAACTCATGGAAAAAGAAAATGAGAATTGTGCATGTGACAACTTTAACTATGCCAAGACCTCAACAGCAACAGAAGTCTTGTCCATCAATGCTCCAATTAAAAACACAACTAAGAAAACACAACTCAACATCTTCAGTATCACCCAATTTGATGATGTCTTCCATGGGATTCAGAATTCATTTCTCTATTTAAACAACATATTTCACAAGTAATGAAATTCCAAAGATCCACAGACACAGCCAAGGACCAGTTATGCGAAGTTCAACAACTGCAGGAGTTTCTCCTGAGGTTTACTGCTATAAACCATGTCATTATCGTCAATAATACCAAAAGCTGGAACTTTTAATAAAAGAAGAAAATGAAACTTCTCACTTTTTCTGGCAAACCCAATAGCAACCTTACTAAATTATTCTGGCTTGAGATGGTGGTCAGAGTTCCCATGAATAAAAGGATGCAGCTTACAACAGAGCACAATGCCCAGTGATGAAAAGCAGTATGTGAAGAATAAGTTATCAGAAATTAGGGACAAACCTATCTTTAGGTGATTTCAAGACAAGAAGTAATTTTAATTTGAATTAGAATTATTTTAATATCACTGAATACAAAATCAGCCCTAGAAGATAAAAGGGCTTTGTTCAGGGCAACATTAATGCAGAATATCTCTCTTCCTTCAAGGAATGAGAAAACCTATATAGTTTTTTATAAATTATGTTGTCTGCTTCAGTTCTTATGGATTTTCAGAGCACATATTAGTTTTGATGTTTTTTGGGCTTGTTGTCATTTCCCCCTTAACCATTTTCTCCTCCCTGGTGCATAATTAAGCATTTCCCTCAGACTATGTTGTAAATTAGATTTTTTACTTGAGCCATTCTTAGCTATAAAACAGGAATGAATCTGGGATTTTACCAACAGCTAATTTACATTTTGCCATCTTCAGAAGAGACACAGCCTGGAGGAGGCCACTGCACTGCTCATAATGCTTTTCTCAGAGCTCATCCGAAGGGCTCAGAAAGCTGCAGCCTCCTCAAAAGAATTCACAGGGATGCTGTGGTGTGGGTGGAGAAAGGAAGAAGAATCAGAAGAACTTTTGATGATAAGCTAACAAATAGTGGGTGTGCCAGAGCATGGACTTGTGAACTATTTACTTTATAAGAGAACTGTAACAAGTAAATCCAGTTTCATAAAAAACAGGGGACAAAAAGGCAAATTCTGAGAAACAAAGTCAGTTTTCCATGGTATATTTGATATTTGGCAAGCAAACAATCCCAAGAAAGGCTCTAAAACACAGAGAATTCCTCCTGATGTATCTTTACTATAAGAAAAACATTTCCGTGGCCTGTTCTTCCCATAGTCCCAAAAGTTATCCACGAGCAGGTCAAATTATTCTTTCAGGGAGAGGACAAGAAACAAAGGCACTTCCTCTGTTATGCATTACTAATTAGCTCCAACTTGGGGGGTGGAGGTTAGCGTAGTTTGGCAATGCAGAAACGTTCTGACAAAATATTCATTGAGGCAAGCTGTGCAAATGCTGCTGCCAGCCCGCAGACAATGGCTCCATTGTTCTGCACAGCGTTGATTTGGGAGCAATCTCAGAGGATCCCGCAAGGAATAAAAGGTAACATTTTTGCAAATTCAGGTCACTTTCTCTACTTTAAGGGTGGCTTTTCTTTTTAGGAAAAAATGTTGAGCTGTGCTTAGTGCCCAGGCTCTGTTATTGTAGGCAATTGCTGCTTTCCCAATTTACTGTATGCTAATCTCAATCTAACGACCTAATTCAACCAGATAAAGCAAAGAAACATGCCCTTGATCGTGTTCAAAAAGACTTGAATGAGGAATGAAGGTGAGAAACACATGATGCTGAGTTATGGTATTAAGTGCTTAGAGATGCCTTGTGGAAAGCTCTCCCCCTTCCCCCTTAATCCCAGGCTTTCAGCAGAGCCCACCAGGCCAGGGCGGTTTGAGGCACACAAGGGAGGGAGGGGGCACTGAGACAGGTCCCTCGCTGGAGAGCAGCACCAAGAGCCTGTTAGCAACCCAGGACAGGATTATTGCACATCCATAGTCTTTGTTCTAACAAACCTGCAAGAACTAGGCCTTTTGGTATCATAGAGAAATTGTATTTGGAACTTTGCCTTTCAGACTCCAACTGCCAGAGAAAAACCCACATTATTTCTTCAGCTGCCTCTCATCAATAATTTATTGGCATAATAAATCACACTACCCTTACCTAAACATCTTTAGTCTACTGAAAAGGAATCACTGTAGATTTACAGTCTCAAAAATAGTAAAGTTAGACATATAAATTCTTCCAGAACAATGCAAGTTCATCTGCTCAACCCAGCAGCACAATATCTACTTTTATACAGGACCTTAAAGAGATCCAGAATGAGCCACAAAGCAAATAATCAAACCTCAGCAAGGCCATGAGCAGCATTCATTGGAGAGAAGGGAGGAAGAGAGGGGACAGGGATGCACTGCAAACTACAACAGTGTCCATGCAGTGTGTACTTGTTCACAAGGCTTTATGGTCAATCAACCAATTCCCTTCCAGCAATTCTGCAGCCCTCAACCTCTTCTGTTTGCTTCCAGTTTCATTTCTCTTACTCATCTTTTCTCCACCTGTTCTTCCAGGCTGCCTCTCTCTTCTTTTACATATTTCCACAAAGTAAAACACACAGATGCTCAACAGTTCAAATACAGAGATTTCCCCCAAGACACTTCACACTGGGTGAGCAACTTCTTGATAATTTTATGGTTTTGAGTGACTGAGTCTAGATCCCAGAGCATATGTATTGCCTGTCAGGTTCAAGCTCCCAGGAGTTTCCAGTCACGGGGCTGCTGGAACTGGCAATCCTGCACAGGATCATCTGCAATGTCTGGCACAGCTGCCAAAGGGAATTGTCCCACACGGTTGCTGCAGGGGCTGCATCAGCCTCCTCAAATTTCTGTGCTGTGATTCCTGATGAGCACAGAACTGCCTTCAGTCAGCTGAGCAATTTACACAATGTAAAACAGGGTAGAAAACCACATAAACACAAAATCAGTTCCATGCACAGAAACATGCCACGGGTTAGCTTTGGGCCAAAGAGTGTTCTTCTGAAAGTGTCCTATCTATCAGATCTAGCATGAATCAGTTGTTTGCATTAATAATTAACACTCTTAACTGGTGAGAGAAGGCTGCTGAGCCTTATTGATGTTCTTTTTTAATCTAGGAACAGTATTCCAAAGTTTGAAAATAATGTATAGGTGACATTTGTTAAATACTCAAACATATTTCTTCTCATGCTTTTACACGTACTCACAAAGGAAACAGAACCAGGTACTGTCCTGATTTCAGTATTTGTCTTGCATAAATACACACACACGTGAGTTTTTTTTAAATTTACTCCTAGCTCTAGTGCTACCAGCCTCCATGTTAGACTGCATTTACTTACATCAAACATTTCTCCCTTCAGTGGTGGGGAAATAACTACAAAGGCAAAACCCCCAGTAATGAGTCCTCCAAGCACATGCTGAAACAAGTGACTTCTATCTCCAAATTCTCCTCTTGTGAGCAGGATTAACAGCTCAGATCCTAAGACTTACATGCACCATACATCCTATTTTACAACTAAATGCTTCCCCCTTTGGAATCAGCCCCATGTTCCAACAGCTCCACAGTGTAGTTAAGTAGGGGGAAAAAAAAGAAAAAAGTAACCTTGACTATGACTGACAATTTAATGTGGGATTATGACTTGCAGTGCTTATTCTGCTGTTATTCACTGGCTCAGATTTGGCTGAAAAGCAATTCCCCAAAAGGTCCAAACATAAGAGGTCTCTTGTAGAGTCCTTTGGGCCATGACAAATGAAACGTGGATATTTCAGTCAAACCTACTTCTGGCTAACAAATTATTTTTGTTGAATTATCCAAAAGTCTTATTCTAGAAGGAGTCTATGGTCCTAAAAAAACAAGCTGGAAATCCTTTTTTCTGAAGGAATTTTTCCAGCAATCATACCTGTTCTAAAATACATTCAGCCCTTCAAAACAGTCACATGAATTGTCTTCCAGAAAACAGCACTTTTACACACCAACAATTGCCTGTACATTTCCTTGAAATTTTTCAGCTGATTAATACACAAAGGTTACAGCAAGCACAACAGCTCTTCAGCTAATGTCCTTAGCTTGAAATCTACACTAATTTTGTGAAGCCTAACGTGCAGACCTTGTGCCCAAATGCCTTCCAACTGGATCAGATGTTCCAATAAAATACATCATTTCAACCTATAAATCTTGTCTTTTATGCCTAAATAAATGCAGGATGCCAGACCTACCAGGGTAAGGATTACCCAATTTATATTTTTAAATATGAAAATCAATACACTAAGGATGCCAGAACTGCAAGTCAGAAGCACAACAATTTTAAACAGCAAGTGGGGAGGGGAGAAAAAAGCCTCCAAGACTGTGTTACCAGCCTTTTGACACATTTCTAGCAAAGCAGCAACTTGAAAATATTTGCCCTTAAATTAAGAAGTACAGTTTGTTAAAAACCTGTGCTCCCAATCATAGCTCAGATATTTAGTGTGTTTTTTTCCTACCCTCAATCTCCTCTTTTGTTGCTCCCCAAATCAGTTCCTCCAAAAGCAGAAATGCAAATGGATGCAAGACGTAGCAGGCACACTGTTTCAAGTGTCAGAAGAAAACTTTGGTGTGAATAATGTTGAGGGCATCTGGGTTATAACATACTCTGTCTGCTAACATGTGTTAAAGACAGGGAAAAATTAACAGTGCAAATCTCAAAGTAGATCTGAGCAGCCCATGGTACAAAAAAGCCCAATACCTGGGATCTGCTTGTCATCATAACTCCCATTATCCTTATCAGTAATTCACCAGTACAGGGACCTTAAAGATAAAAATTCCTCATTAAACATACTGCTTATTTTGTGGTATCTGCAATGTCACAAGTTGGTTATAAAGTTCCCCTGTGAACTGAGACACCTTCAAGGCTGAGGCAACTCTTTTACCTACAGGTTGCCAGTGTCCTGAAATTACCCCTCCAGCCTTCTGTCCTGCTACCTCTGCCCTACCAGATTAAAGAGGACTAAACTTTCACTGGACACTGCCCTTACCTAAACACATGTCTAAAGACACAGGCAGCTCACCTGAGGCTGTTAGTACAGTGTATGGTGCAATAAACTCATCACCTTCCCACTCCTTCACTGCCATGAGGCCTCTTGGTACCAAGATAACAAGGTTCAAATTAACTAATACTGATAGAGCATTTGCAACACAGAAAGAAATTATAACCCCTGATACCTAATAATAGTATCCAAAAAGCACACTGCACCTTTTGGGATGAGAATGAAGAGAGAGAAAAAACTAATGAAAAGCAATTCCTTGTCATGACTAGAAGAAGGCCATTAGAACTCAAGACAGTGAATGGGAGCAAACAATTGTTTTGCACTTTACTAGGTTTAAGGTGAGGGTTAGAGTCAAATATACTGGACCTCCATTAGGGCTAGAAAAGGCAAGCCAAAACAATCCCAGCAGGGCATCAAATCTGTAGGGCATGCTGATCCTACAGACTTCTGATCTGGACCAGCCATGGTACTGGGCTGGGTTCAGGGTGAAGGCTGAGATTAGGGTTAGGGTCTAGAGAGTTCAGTATCCTACGGGTCTGGGAGCACTGGGGCAGGGACCTGGTGCTGCAGGCTGGGACCCACAACAAACAGGCTCTTTTGACAGGCCTCCTGCAAGCTATCAGCACAATCTTTAACAGCACAGCTCGTGGGATGAGCCAGAACAAAACTTCTGCCTTTATCTTATCACTCTACTTTGCTTTCCCAACACCTTGCCATTTCACAGGAGCTTGTGGGCCTCACCCCCTTGGGGAGAGGGCGTGAACTCCAGCACATAATGTGAAATATTACTATTGTAAAAAACTGTGAGGCCTTATTCAAGATGGTAGATCACAAAAAGAATAACCTTGGGAGAATCACTTTGGCATGCCTATTCCAGCACCAGTGTCCTTGGACCTGTAGGCTCTCTCAGTCTCTTTACCCTAACCATAATACCAACCCTGGCCCAACCCAAACACCATGGCTGGTTCATATCAGAAAGATGCAGGAGCAGTAAATGTCAATGTCCTGCCAGGACTACCTTGGCATGCCCATTCCTGCCCCAGTGCTCTTGGAGATGTAGGATATTTGACTGTCTCAATCCTAACCCTAATCCTGACCATAACACTAGCCCAAACCCAAGGCTGGTGCAGCTCAGAAAGCTGCAGGAGCAGCAATGCTGGGCCCTGCTGGGAGCATGCTGGCATGCCTATTCCTGCTCCAGCAGGAGTCAATTTGTGCTGCAGGCTCTGGGTGCCTTGGAAATACCACTCCTTGGTGTGTAAGAAGTGTGCATTAAAAAAAAAAAAAAAAAAAAAAAACCTGCTAAGCTTTGAAGAGAAGCAGCAGGCAAAGCTGTTACAATACATGCTTAATTCACAGCAGTGATTGCACTACAACACCACAAACTAAGGGAAGCCAGCAGGAGAAACCCCTACACACAGACATTTCTAGAAATGCTTTGAAAAATTTGGTTCTATATATTGCTCAGGACAATGCAGAGATGCTTAATTTTAATTACCATCAGGGCTCTGAGAGCACAGATGGATGCCTGTTAATTAAAGCTAGCAGAGTTCTGTGTAAATTCAAAGAATAAAACAAATAAATATTAGCCTTACAAGAACATTCAAAGTAAAAGACAGTAATGAGTTTTGGAAGCAAGGAAGGAAATTGTTGTCAGTGGAAAACAGCCAGCAAAGATAATAGATCTCTACTTGCAGCTGACCATCACTAACAACTCTGTCTTATCAGGAAGCAACTTGTCAGGCAAATCAAATCTGCAGATTAGAGGCACTGCCAAAAGCCAGGCAGATATAATACAGGTATATTATATACAGACCAGTTTAGTCAGGTGTTGTCCAAAATCCAGTGGCAACAGAAGTAGTAATGCAAGTTAGCTCTGAGGCAGAAACAGGAAATAAAAATAAATTTTAAAAAATCTAGTCAACACGCATGAAACCAGAATAAGCAACTAAAGATTACCAAGAAAGATCACTGCTATGTTTTCCGTAAAAAGGCTAAAATGGAAACAATGGAACATTAGACATTTCAATCAGTCCCCACTATCAATAGCCTCTGCTAAATTTCAACAACTGAGATCTGCATCCTTTTATAGTTAATTTAGGACTCCAGAAGGGAAAAGTTCATAGCCCCAAATACTTAAGTGTTTCAAAAATATGAAACAAGGAATATTAAAGTGGGACAAGTTTTACAGACACTGCTGCACGATTTCTTTTTGACACTGGAAACAAGGACATCAATTCCAAGGATGGATTCTTGCTAGAGTCAGTATCTGCACTCATCAGCACGTCTCCTAAAAGAGGTCAGCAAATAGCCTCAGCCTGTAGTTAATGTCAATAAACACAAGCCTAAAATGAACCAAAATCTTCACAATATCACACCTCCAACTTGGCAACAGACTCAAGATGTCACTCCACAAACTGCTCTGGCATTCAACGTGTCAGTGGAGTCCCACAGCAGCCCCTCAGTTTTGTCTTTTGGTAGATTTTGCAAGAAAAGATCATGCTGTTCACAGTACAAGCCCAAGCAAAACCCTCCCTTCAACACTGCCTTTTTCTGAGCACAGGTGTGACAACTGCAACTGAACTGTGTTACAGGATCTGCTTCTGAAGAGAAATAAGCCAGGGAAGATGTACAGAAATAGATGCATGAATGAAATAAGCTTCCAGAAAAAGCCAACAGCAATAGACCAGTCTTGACAGGGAGCATTAATCACTTCCTTAAAACACAAAACCTGGGTAAGTGGCAATAGTTTGTATGGTAAAGACAAAAGATTTTCCAGGTGAGCAATCCTAGTTACAGGCAGGACAAGAAAAACAAGCAGAGTTACAAATAACGTGGGTGATAATCTACATTACTGATAAAAATGAACTGCATATTTATATTATTATGTACACTATATCTTTATAGTATTTATAATATAAATAAAGGTATAAATAATATTCATTACTTAGTCTACAGATTCTACCAAGCTATTTAGCAATAATGCCTCATCCTCCTTTAAAGCATTTGTTTGGTTTTCTTATCTACAAGAAACCAACTATGGTAGGACTGAAATGCAATATCATGCCAGTGTCCTCAGAAGCATTAAAAAACCCCAAAATATCAGCTGCAGCATCTTGAAACCTTACCATAGATCAACTATGCAAAACTAAGCTCAAGTATGGCTATTTTAAGTATAGAAACTCTTGAGGTACAGAAACAAGGCTGAGTAATCACATATAGAAAGTACCCTTAAGAAAAAAAAAAACTGATATTGATGCAGTAATTTATTCCAGTAGCTCAAACATTATAGAGAGACTTTCAAAGCCAGCACTGTTCCTACTGATATTGCCCATAAACATCCTCTTCAGCTTGTGTTAAAACTTGTCTACTGCAGAAAGAGAGGAAGATATCAGTAAAAGAAAGCATGAAACACCACAGATGGTAAAATAGATTTTGAAGAGAAATCAGTCTCCTCCAGTTCTGGAAAGAGTATAAACCCCTGAGTGCAGCCTTCTCTTCAGCGAGCAGGAGGGCAGGCTTGCAGAGGCAGAGCAGGTGCCAGTGCTGCTGTGCTGTCCCTGGGACCCTCCTGGCTGGCACACGCTAAAGGCTTCTGGACAGCTGCCATTGCTGCTCTTCCACCTCTCTGAACAGAGCTGAACTTGTGCATTTGATCTTAACATCAGATTTTTGAAATCTGAATGTAGAAAAGCAGCCAAATAACTCACAAAAAGTCCAACACCAGGAAGACTGAAAGCCTACTAATTTCTCCATTATTAAAGCACAATTTAAGAAACTTCCATACATAGCATTTGTAGATTGTTTTTTCTCAGCAGTTTTCAATAATGTACATACTGCTGTTACACAGTAAAGACTACTACCTCCACACATTATTTGCCAAATATTAATTATTTTGTCTTTTAAATATACTTCTTATAGAAATTATTTATAATTGCTTCATCCTGTGACACTGCAGAGCTGTACAAGTCATCAGTTTCAGCTGCATCTTTGTGAAACTATTTTGATTGTGCTCCCAAATCTCAGGACTAAATGCTCCAAATAAAGGATTGGCACCTTACTGGTTCTCACCTTTGACTCAATCTGAAGCCCTGTTGAGGTTGACTTGCAAATTTCAGCCATTAACTAAGAGAAAACATTTTATTATCCTGCCTTGTCATTCTCCCCATGACCTTTTAACCACTAACAAGTGGGAGAGCCCTGACAAACTCAGAGAAATGTTACAGATGCTGGGATAAGAATTAGTCCAGGCAGTGCAGCCTGGAAGATGTGGCTGCTTCACTCCTGGGGGGATGATTACATTTTTGGGAGTGCCATACGCAGTCCTTGAAGCAGGAGCTAATGACCACTTCAATCTGAATGCTCTAATTAGGGGCTCATAAAGCCAAGGTCTTTCTTGCCCACCCTTTCCTGAGCCTCATCCCAGCAGTAAGAGCTAGATTGGAGATAGGCCATGACTTTACCCCTCCACTAGCACTGACAGCAAGGAATATCTACAGCCAAGAAAGGAACCAACCTCCACGGCACTCCAACAGCTTGGCCATCTTACCAAGTACGGCCTGGGAGCACTGCTCAGCATCCCTGCCAGCAGAAAGAGCACCTGCACAATGTGCACCCCAGTGTGGCTCCCAGGACAGGCAGGTGTGTCAGGCACAGCCCTGCCCCACCATTTCCAGAGGTTAGCAGTGGCAGCTCCCTGTTCAGTCTGCTGGAGCACCGTGCATCTTGCCCTTCATGCCCACAGTGGAGCAGTTAGAGACCATCACACACAGCCTGCATTTCAGGGCCAGCCACCCAGCTCCCCAGCACACTCCTGGTGCCAGGGACCCAAACACAGCACTGTAGCAGCCCACGTATGAAGGGACAGCATCTGAAGGTGCCATTTGACAGTTCCCAGTTTCAATGGCCTGTTTGACAGGCTGCCAGCCCTGCCTGTGTCCCAGCCCCTTCCCCTGCACCCACACCTCCTGCCTGCCAGCCCTGTGACCGCTGCTCACGAGATTGGTGACATAATCCAGGTTCAAAGCAGATTATTTTTAACTCAGGCCCCCACTCACTCATCTGATTTACAGCAGAATATTACAACACTTGTATACACACAGTTCGTGGGGCAGGGAGCCACAGGCAGCACAAGCAGAGAGGAGCAGCTGGAGGTGCAGGAAATAAGGTTACAGCAGAGGCCAAGAGCTGTGGCTTCAGAGGTGGTCAAGTGCCACATCCTGTCCTTTCTCTCCCCAAGATACAGGACATTTTCTTCTAATTAACCAGCAACCAGAAATTAAATTTACATACGTCTGCCTATTTCTACTGAGTTCCTTTGCAAGTCAGCAATTAGTTCAAGTAATCCATTAATTCTAAGCCATGAATCCTCAAGGTCCAGAAACAGCTTCTAAGAACTCTAAAGGAAGAAACTAAGGTCATGCATTTTTAGAGTTAATCAAGAATAAATTTACTGGTCACAGGTCCATATCTGCACTAACATTTGGTTTGGGATCCACAAACAGACAGGGTTTAGACCCACTGTTTTGAAGAAAAAAACACCCAAGATCTGTACTAGCAATAAACTGGATTGCAGATTTGCCTTATCTGCTGACATCTCTAGCTTTCTAATGTCAGTCTTTAAACTGCTTGCATGTTTAAATAGTTCTCCTCTTTTCTGTTCACGCTACAGTTTCATTTTCCTCACACAGCTCTTAACTTTCTTGCTGATTCGGGCTGTGGAGCACAGTGTCCATGCACCTCACAAACTGGCTGGACATAAACACTGGGGATCACATCAGGGCTTCTGGAGTCACTTGTAATTTAGCCATTTGACACATCTCACCAACCAAGCTAAAAGCAGTGATTCAGAGAATGTGAGCTCCCCTGCACAGAAGAGCAGTTTGGATTTTGGCCATTCATTGCTCTAAACCAAGCAGGAGACACGGCTCTCCCTGCTAGTTAGAGACATTCATCAGGTTACCCAACAGTTCCACACTTTACAGCATCTTCCTAAACTCCTTGAACACAGTAGACCACACCAAGCCAGACAGTGGCTTGAACTATGTGACTTAGATTCCAAATGAGCCACAACAAAAGCTGAATGAACCTGCTCACATCCCAGCTTCATTCTCCTCCATGTCTGCTTTCCAGATTCATGGCTACACCAAGCACCTGTCCATGCATACATTTGAGAAGGAAAAAAGGCTACAGCCACTTCACACTGTCAGAGCAGTGTTTGAGGCCACATTAAGTGAGGCCAAATTCAGATCAATTTCTTAAATAGCTCACCCCTACCCTATGGGGCAATCCCTCTGCACAGCACACCAGCCAGCAGCACAGGGAGCTCTGCAGCTCTCAGGCACCCCCTTGCCAAGGACAGGAGAAGCCAGAAGGCAACACATCTGGCAGAGCTTTGCCAGGAAAAGAAAGGCTGCTTCAGTGAAAGAAAGGCTCAAAAATGGTAGATAACAGGCCAGAGAAGGGATTGTACCCAACCCTAATGTGGATGAACAGAAACCAGGTGCTGCAAGCTAGTACTTAATGCTCAGAATTTCAGCCAAAATTTCTAATCCAGTGCTAATGATTTGAAAAAGCACAGATGCCCATTGCTGCGTACCAGCCTGAGGACACTGTTTGCACAAGCAGAAGTTTAATCTCAAAAAATAAATATGAGCAAAGAGAAATATTCCTGTTTACCAATTAAAAGATCATTTACATAACTACCATCTGCAGTCCCTCCACCCCCCAATTAAAATGAATAAAGAGACCCTTTTCCCCTCTGTCCCTCTGTGCACAGTGGATGTGCCTTTAATAGCTGTTGCCTTTATCTTGTTTTGAGTCTGATATGAATGATCCTTCCTTAGCACTCTAAATCAGGCCTGACTATACTCTTGGATAGGATTGTTTTTTCCCAATTATATCCATTACTGTTAGTCATCTGCTTCTTTCACTTATTCTGGATCTTGTCATGTACCCTTAACATAAATGGAGTTTTGCCATTGATTTCAGCAACAATAAAGTGGGAAAAAGCATTAGTCACAACACAGCATGACAGCACCAAATCATAAGGGCCAATACAAATGCTCCTTGCATCTAATTTATTTCTCATTACAGTGATGGCACCAGAAACTCAGGCCCTTCCTCCTCCCCTCCCTGCAAGTAGCTCTGCAATGAGAAACTAAACAGTGCACAAGGTCCATCAGCAAAGTGCCAAAGGATCATTCTGGGGGATGGTGCAGATGAGGCATTCCCTGTAAGAAAGCAGTGAGAACCCCCTCTCCAGTGCACCAGCGTCAGGCACTGTGCAAGCTTTCTGCTCCAGCTCCACTCTAACACACTCATCTGCATTTTCCTCTTAAAAAAGGAAATCCATCTAACTTGCAGATTTTCAGATGCCTAAAGTCAGAAAGTTCATATTTGCTGACTTCAGACCTCTTTTTTGAAATTGTAGCCAAAGGAGAGACTTGGCAAGGTACACACAAACAGGGTGCTACTGCTACATAATACACAAGCATTATACACACACAAACAGTAAGTTACTGCTATAGAATGCATAAGCTCATACATTGCACTGTACTTTTGTGGGATTAACTGTTGCAAAAGGCATTGCCAAAAGCAGTCAAGCCAGTCATGTAGTCTGTACTCTAACTTCTAGAGCAGGATTCAGCAGCACAAGTCCAATGCAAATACCTACATATATATTGTTCTGTCCCAATCAAAATGTAGATGACTACATGATTTCAATCACTAAAAATACTTAAAACTTCTTGAGATGGGAATTCAACCCATAAATTCTTTTCCTTCTGCAGATTTAAGAGTATTTCAGCATAAAACACTTCACTACATATTTGCTCTGAACAGTATTTTGTGGGCCCCATTTGAAAGCAGTCAGGCTGAGGCAGTAGAGTTGACAGACTACCTAGTCCATTCTAAGTCAAATATCAATGAAAATTTTCCCTGAAGCTTAAGTTTCACACTAGGTACATCAGAGGTTTATCCAGATATTTGTGTTGAAAAAAACAATTTCCTAGTTAAGGCAATTATTGATAAGTTCTACAAAAATAACTCTGGTGTTTCTGCCTTGGTAGTTTCAGATATTCTTGGAATCAAAGATATTTCAGTGATAGTTATTCATATTGCTTTTCATCTACAAATATATGTCATGAATAAAAGTAACAATATTCACAAAATAGGTACAGACTCCTATTCAACAATCACAAGAAGAGTACAAAGAAGCCTTATTTCATTGGGTTTTAAAAATGAAGTTCCAATGACTTCACACAAAAACACTGTGGTACAAAAAAAAGCAGCAGACTCAATGCCAAGGCAGATACATAGAAAAAAGATTAAATCTAGGGACAAAACTTTAAAATTTGATTACTTGAAATACTCCTATACTAAATACCAGATTTAGAAAATAAAAATATACAAAATTTTAAAAGTGTCCCTTCTTAAGCATTAACTATTCTAAGTTGTAACTTCAAGAACCTTGTATCAAGAAACTTTGGGATGGTATCTGTGAAATAGATTCCAGAGAGCAAAGCTTCTTCTATGCAAATTGGCTGATCCCAAGAGCTTTTTAAATTAGCTATTAAAATCATGCATTTTTAAAATGCATTCCAGTAACACATTTGATCATCACTTTTGTACTAAAACAAGGTACCACATTTCAGGCTTACATTGGGAGTTTTCTAGAAAATAAGGGCAATGCTTTTCAAAGAAAGATTTCCAGCCAGCTAGTCTTGGATTTGGCATGGTTATGAATCTGATGAGCTTCATTCAGAAATATTCATCCTTCACTGAACTGAAAAGGCCATTCATTTTTCAGCCCCATTAAATAACCAGCTGATTTTGTTATATTACCTACTGAACATTTATGCTTCCCATCAGAAGAGCTAAACTTGTCATTGCAATAGAGGTAGTCAGTAAAAATCAGACACATTGTCTAATGAGTCAGTGCACACCCATTACAGCTGATGCCCTGCCTACCATTGCACACACTGAAATGCAAAGCATTTTGTGCAGAATCTATTTAAGAACATAATACACAATCAAATCTCAATCCTGATTCAGGGCAATAATGACAGCATTCATCCAATCTATCTGCACATTAAAGAATCTTTTCAAGATTTTAACAGTGAAGAGTCATGGCCCCACAGGGAAACACCTCAGCAGGCATATTCCAATACCAAACCCCAAGCCTCTCTGTTCACATGCCAAAAATCAGGTATGTGCAGAGAAAAAAGGGGTATGGAGGGAACAAGGGCTGGGCTGCCTCTGCCCTGTCTGAGGCTGATTTCCTGCTTTCCTTCAGGGACTCCAGAATGAGTATTGCCTCTGTTGGATGAACAGATTTTCCATCACCAAAGCCAGCCTGAGCTGGCACTGAGGTGACTGCCAGGGCCATCACTTAACTGGATAAGGCTGTGATCCATTACTGAAACAAATATTGCAAGGGAACTTGATGGATCAGCTGTTTAGCTTGTTGCTTCCACTTCCCAAGCAGCTGCAGCTCTTCCCAAACTCAGTGTATTGATTTCCTGACAACAAATGTTTCTACAGTGAAACCATGATGAAACAGCAGATAAGAAAGCAAGAGTGCCAGATCAGCAACACCAATTCCCACAACACCTTAGAAATATTAGGAGTGTTTGGAAGCCAACTGCTCTTATAAAAATAAATAAATAAACTATTTATGGAAATACAGGGCAAAATCCTGCTTCCCTTTTACATGAAGGACCATAGTGTCATTGTATGAGGTCACACTAAATTCCTGCTAGGACCAGAAGTGTTCCTGTGACCTTAAAAGCTCCAAATTAGGAAATTTGTAAACACCATCCTTGCTGCCAGGGCACAGACTGCTGTAAAGCTGTATGTGAGAATGCCTGTGAAACAACTGCCTGCCAGAGATGTTGCTAGGATGTGGCACAGCTCCAGCCGGGTCCCAGCAGGGGCTGGGGCACCCATGGCTCTGTACTGGCTGCAGAGCAAAGCCTGCAGCTCACAGGGGCACCCAGGGCAGCATGAAGGGACTGAGGAAGCCCAACCCCAGGAACAAGGCAAGGCTAAAGCAAAATTCAACACACCTGGAAGCAATTATTAGGTATTTCAATTCACTTTTAGGGCAGGGGAGGACACACTTCAAACACTGCTCAGCCTAACAGAAGGGAAGAAGCATTGTTACAAGGCAACGTGCTTTATTAAAACAAGATGATCCATCTATACAAAAAGTATATTTGCCCCTCTTCACCTAGCCTCTCCTGTAAATCTATACTCTGTCATCCATACCTCAGCTCCCAGTCCTACTTTTCAGAAATTCATTTTGAGTCTGCTGCCTAATAAGCTCTTTCCATTAGGTGTAGAAATCAAACTTATCTCCATTCTCATTCTTCAGATACCATGTCTGCAGTGGCCTGCTCATGCACCACTTGTTCCCTAAATGCTGCACATTAGCATAGAAATGCTTCCTCTAAATTACCTTACTTCCTTTTTTTTACTTAAGAGGGGTTTATGTGAAAATTAAATGTCTATGAGTTAAGACCATATTCTAATCCAAATGCAATAATACTTTTTACTGAGGATAGGTTTTTAAATTAAGAATATGTTACATCAATGAACTAAATTTACCCCTATGTCTAACCATGGCCTGATCCTCCACCCACTGAGCAACCTCTTGTACCACTGGCCCTGCCCCTGAATGTGTTCATCACACAGACCAAGCCTGGATAATTGGAATGCAAATATATGCACAATTAGCAGCATCGTTGCACCATTTTAAAAACCTTCTGAAAACACATTCTTAAGTGATTCACTGCATTTTTATGGCTTTTTTCTCACAGCCATTGGCTCAAAAACCTTGGTAATTCTCAGGGTATCAGGAGAGGAACCAAGAGCTCATGGACACAGGCTCCCTATCAGATGCAGAGCCCTGTAGGTTGCTCACAGCTCTTTTAAGTCCTAATTACCCCAATCTAGGGTTGTCAGAAACCCCTAGAACTGTCCAGGAGCAGCATGACCTATTCTACCCACCCTCACCACAACCTTCCTCTGCAGAGAAGCTTCACTTGGAAAGAAACATCACACATGAGCTCTGGGCTGCCTCTCCCAGGCCACACTGCCACTGGAAGAGCTCAGATTTTAAGGCTAAGTACATGAACAATGAAGGGGAATAGATCTGCATCTGTGATGTATCCAGTGGCCTGAAAAATAGAGTTCTGTACATACATAATGATGCCAGTGTGCTGTGGTTTTGTCACTACTACAATCCAGTAAATGCCAGCGATACATTGCTTTCATTGAAGTACCAGAAAGCCAAGTTAGAAACAGTAATAGCTTTGTATAAGGAGGTATTTACTGTTTGGATTAGAATAACCATATGTCAAACAAACTTTTTAGACAATAACATGGTCTGCTGTGCCAAACATGTTATCATCTCCTCACTGCCACACTTGTTCATCAGTCCCCAGAGTGCCCAGCACAGCCTTG